GGCCGGCAGCCGCCGCGGGAGCTCTCCAGCCCCGCTCTACTAGGCGTCCGGGGCTGCCCTAAGCCGTCTTCCGCGGCTGGGCTCCCGGGAAGCTGCCATCCTGGAGGGGTGGGGGGAGCTCTGCCTCGGCGGGGATAGAGCAGCGCGGCTGGCCCCGCCCTGGGCCCTTACTGTGGCAGAACCTTGGTCGCGTTTATTTGAAGGTTGTGTCGGCGTTTCACACTATATTGACCTTTTCCTCTGTTGTCGGTTTGTGTTCTCGTTGTAGCCTTGATTAGCCTGTCCTTTGGGGGAGCAGTCGGACTAATGTTCTTGATGCTTGGATGTGCCCTTCCCCAATACAAGTAATGTGCGCTCTCTTCTTATTCTTCATTTCTTTTTTGCATGTCTTTAACTTCAGAATAGTTTGGCTTTTATAATGATGGACTGAGAAGTCCTCTATATAGGAGGGCTTTTGGGGCTGGTGTTTTGCTTCAAAAGACTGGGACAAGGAGTTAATTCACCATAGGAGTGATGGCAACAAAAGTTAAAGTACTAGGCCTGGCTGCAAACTATTAAAAATGCACTATCATAACATGTGTCCAGTGTTGTCCCTCTTTGGCTAATAAGCAGATAGCACCTTCTGAAGTAGACAGCAAGTTCATATATCAGGGAGGCGTTTGCATTTTCCCTGGCTACTTAGTGGTAGTTGGGCTGTTGGTGACTGTCAGGTGGCCCCTTGGCTGTGTACCATGCTTGGTAATGTAGTGTCTGGGATAACTGCAGCTGCTATTTGTGCTTTCAGTCTATTGAGTCGTATCTCAGTTTCCAGAAGATATGAAGTAGTAGACCAGAAGTTTAGAAAGTTAGGCTTATGGTTTTGACCCTTTGCAAGTGAATGCTAACTTTACAGACAGTCTTTTGAATTGACTTATTTAATGTTAAATAAATATCAAATATCCTGTTGATAGCCCTGTTAGGTTGTGAATTGCAGTTCTCTACATATATGACTAGCCTTCTTATGCCAGCTTTCTTTTGTTATAAAATCGGGGCTGGTGACACAAACCCTTAGGAAGGAGATTATTATGCAGTCACCCTTCAAACAACGCAATAACGCTTTATTGAAACAATGTGTAGCTGCATTGGTGTGTCTGAGAAATATGTTCTGGTGAGCTGCAAGCAATAACAGAAGATGTTGCCAAATATGGTTTAATTCTTGAAGGTTTTTATCAGTTGCATTCAGATTTTTAAAGAAGTCTTGGTGCCTCATGGTGGCTGTCTATTGGCTGAGAACAATATACTCTGTTCCATGTATGTGCACTGAAAGCTTACGGGCAAAATGGTGTGAGGGCTCTTCAAAGGTATCTGCAATTCTTAAGTAAAGCTGACAGATTAAATTTAAGAGTTAAGCTCATCTTGTGAGGTGGTGTTAGATTTAGGCTTGCTTAGTGAAATCTTACTTTATGAATATCCTGTTAGTGAGCTATTTGCTGCTGCTGTTGAGGTCAGCTGAAGCCACTCACAAACATGGTCTGTTGGATTAAAGTCAGCTTTCTCTGGGCTTGTGTCTGTCTTGCCTGAATGTGGGGGCTGGATGGGGAGGATGCTTTCCTTTTAGGAAGAACAAGAAGTAAATCAAGTTAACTTTTAACTTCTCCTTTGTTTTTCAGCCAGTACTGGCCACTGTTTGTTCTGTTTTTTTACATCCTTTCTCCTATCCCATACTGCATAGCAAGAAGATTGGTAGATGACACAGATGCTACAAGTAATGCCTGCAAGGAGCTAGCAATATTTCTTACAACAGGCATTGTTGTCTCAGCGTTTGGGCTACCCATAGTTTTTGCAAGAGCAGAACTGGTTAGTAATATTTCCATCTATGATTTTTTTTTTGCTAGAACTCTGTTCTTTGTGGGGTTTTCCAAAGGTAAAGCTCTCATGCGCTAAGTAACCTTTTACAAATATGTACTTAAGATGCTTGCAGTGGAAACAGAGTAAGAGTTCTTTTGGCAAGAAAAACTAATACTAGAAATAGAAGCATGGCAGAATGTTGTGATTGCCTGTTGCTTCACATGGTCATGGAATAAACACTAACATGCTATATGCAAAGCAGAGAAAATAAGATAGAAAATAGTGTGAAAATTTAACAGGCAAGTAACCAAATATAAAAGTGTATAGAATATTTTGAAGGCAGTTTGTGGAGTAGTTGGCCTAAAGAAGCATGAATAAACAATACATTTTCATACTCACTGTAAATGATATGTGGTGTTATTTTTTTTTAAACTTCCAAGTTGTCATTTCACCTTTCCCAGTATACAGCTTTTCACTAAAATCCTTTAAAATATTACCTTGTTTGTCTGAATTTCAGAGCATGCTACTAAGTCAAAAAACAGAGTGCACTTTCCTAAAATCTCTTTAGGCAAGAACATTTCAGATAGTCGGTTTGAATGCCTCACACCCTTCGACTAATCCACTTACTCTCCTTGGAAAACATTCACCTCCTTTTTGGTTACTGGGATACTTGCTGTTATTTTGAAGATCTGCATCCTTAAATATCAGTTTAAAAATGTCTCATAGCATGGTTAGCAAGTATAGCTGGGCTGCAGATGTGTTTGGTGCTGTTGCCTAGCCTAGCTTTACTATTTTTGGATGTTGCAGCAGAACAGCTGTGCCTGCTAGCCAGCGCTTTGAACTTAGAAGAAACTTGCAGTGCTTCTTGGCTAACTGTGAATTGGTTGAGTCATTCGTCTTGGCGTACCCACAACTAATGAGATACTACCCTCTTGCATCACGGGCCTGTTGCTGAACTTTGTCTAGAATGTGACGTTAAGATGTTACTTTTTGTCTTGTTGGTATTCAGTTCAAAACATGTCTAACTGAGTTCTTGTTCACAGATTTACTGGGGCGCTTGTGCACTAGTTCTTACGGGGAATACGGTCATCTTTGCCACAATCCTAGGATTTTTCTTGGTCTTTGGCAGCAATGACGACTTCAGCTGGCAGCAGTGGTGAAAGGAATATATGAGAATTATCACAGGCATCTCGTCATGCAGTGGCCATCCATACAAATGAGAGAATGGGCAATAAAGAGAAGTAGCGTAGCAAGCCTCTTGAGTATTCTAGATGTTCCTTTTCACCTTGTTCATTCTGAGTGTACTACTGTTGCTGACAGGGTTTCTACATTTTGATGAAGTGGAGAGATGATTGATTTCATTTTTACCTATGGTATGTTTTTAGGTGCTCTCTTGGTTTAAAATTGTCATCCTTCTGTCCAGTGTTCATGTGAAGCTTTAAATCTGGAACAAGAACATTTAAACATGGTTTCAAATAAGATTTAAATTTGATTGGGTTTTTTGTTTTGTTTTAAGTTAAGCATTAATACTATGTTTCAAAATAACTTTTTTAGGTAGTTGGTTAAATTATATCCAAGCTGAATGGAGGTACGAGATTGTGCCCTGCCATTGTCAATTTTCAGATCAATGGATTGCTATATTTTAGAAGAGGCAGGATGGGGTGGAGAGTAACAGCTGCAGATTTTTCTTCTGTCCATACCTCAAACTGGATGATTAATGTTGAAAGCCTTCATTTCAGGAGAAGGCTGAGGAGCAGGTAGAGTTATTTGGGAAAAGTCCTAAATTTTAACACCGCTAGCACTTTTACCTGCCTTGTTATCAATTCTTTGTGGATGTGACATTCAAATACTCTGTAAAGGTATTGATGCTATGACATACAAAACTAAAGTGTATTGTAGGGGAACGGAAAATGATATTGAAATTCAATTTTTTGAAAAAGTATCTTTTGAACTCTTTATATTTATGAGTATTGTATGGTTTTGAACTTCTGTGTTGACTTTTTGTTCATTTATGGAACTACTGGTCTGTGTTAATTTGAAGCATATACAAAGCTATTTCCTCCTTCCCCTTTTTAATTTATTTTATACATAGTATATATATATATATATATATATATATAAAAATATAAAATAGCTTTTCAAATGTAGATTAAAACTTTGTGTTAAACTTGGCTAAGAATGATTTTCTTTTTTTCCCGTTCACACAATGCAGTTGAGGCATGACTTTTATGGAAGTCACTGGCTGAACTGATTTCACTGACTGTTTTTAAGTTCTTACGCACTATCAGTTAAGAAGATTTAATGTTATGTCTGTAATTGTAGCTTGTGTTCTGTAAGAATGCACATGTAGCTTCAAATATTTAAGAAAAGTTTTCTGCATACCTCTCAATTGTCTGGATTTTTCATTTAAAGAAACCTGCCATTATACATTCCATCACAAGATAGTTGATGAGTGCCAGTTATTGATTGTACCACATGCAGTGATAAACTTGACCAAACATATTTCTAAACTATATTTTTGTTCAATTATTTAAAAAAAGTCTAGAAAAATTATTGTGCGTAATTAAAAGCTGATGATTGCTTAGGTTTTGTTTAACAGTGGAGCAATATGAAAAGACATAGAATTGCAGGTCTTAGCTGTAGTATTTGTGTGCAGATATAAACAAAGTATAAAGCTTGATTATTTGAAGTCTGATAGTATTGTAATTACTTATACGGTGTGCTCAAGGAACTGGTACCAGTAGGTGGGGGCAGCAGGGGTGTAGCTATCTACATGTGCTGCCACCTTAATGTCATCCTGTGTATAAGAGCTCAATTTTGTCTGTGCTGGTAGAGGAAGAAATAGGTGCCAAGACCCTAGTGCAGAAGCCAGACTATAGCAGATGGTCTTTCAGCCGTAAGTGCATGCTTCACCAGACTGCCTGCGATGGTGACGTTCAGAGATGTGTAAGGGCTGTGGAATCACTCTTTTCCTCACCTTTCTCCATGATACTTCTTCATCCCTGCCCCTAGCATGACAGGTGCTTCAGAAAATCTTCCAGACTGGTGACTAGATTTGCAGTCCTTTGCAATTGTTGCAAAGGAGGAATGCTTAGGGCTTGTACAAATCTGAATCTGTTACCAACTCCCTTTTTGTGGTCAGGAACAGTGTTTTCTTCTTCATTCCAGTGCTGCTAAGCCTACTTCTCCATGTGATGCTATTTTCTGGATCACTGGCCATAGAGCTGACTCTGTATGTATTAGCAGTGCATTTTTTGTATGCTAATTGCATTACAGCATTACCTTTGCTTGTACACTGAGTATGTGCAGTATTGGTCTGATGTATGAGCTAGACACTTGAGAGGTATGATCCTTACATATAATATGCACTGAGATAGCAGCCTTTTAGAGGGAAAAACTGAATGATAATTTTAAATAGCAATCTTGAGTTCTGTATGTTTAATCAAAAATACTCTAATAAAAGAGTATTTTGTTTAAAGTATTAATTGCTTTTTTCTTTAATGTGGTTGTCATTCCTGTTGAAGAGATGTCACAAGATTACTCAGTAGTCTTTCAGAGTGAGTATTTGTCATTTACCTTGGACAACTCTAAAAAGAGGTGACTGTATAAAAAGAGGCTCGTTTGTTCAGTACTGTACTGGTTGCACTGATCTGGTTTTGCTGGTTTTATCTTGCATCTGCAGTTGATCTTCAGCTTGTGTTTGAAGTCCAAATTCTGATATGCTGGTATGATACAAAGTGATAGCCACCATCACCACTGATGTATTCATAACTATAATTTTTATTAAATAAACCCAGGCTTTGTAATATTTGTAATCACTCATGACATTGCTGAAATGTGAAAACTGATGACTGATGGCAGTCTTTTAGCAGAAGAAAGTAATAGGAATTGGTGGAAAATCCTTTTTTTGGGCAGGAGGGCAATTGCCCCCTTCTCTCTCCCCACACACTCACTTCAGTGCCATCTATTTTTGTTGGGTTTTTTTAGCTTATTCTGAAAGGGGGGGCAAAAAAGTTGTTTAAAATATTAACAAAGGAGAAAGTTCTTCATTTAAAACATTGGAAGAGAAATGGAGCTGAGTGATTTGGCAATAACCAAGATGCTACAGCTGCAGACAACGTAGACTGAACTCGCAATGTCGTGTGTAATGAAGAAATACCCTAGTGCATCAGCTCAGCCGGTGAATCCCAAGGCCTACTGTCAGGTGCTTTTGAGGGAGAAGGCCAGATGATGGTGGTGTGAAGGGTCAGGGCATGGCAAAGGGTGGGGGGTGGAATTGTGGGCAGGGATGATGGTGGTGTGAGGGGTCAGGGTGTGTGGGGAGTCTGTCTTACCGTAAAAGCTGGTAGAGGAACCCTAAGACTCATTTTGGCGTTTTAGGAAGCAGGCATTCTTTAGTGCAGTGCTGGATGCATGGGGGATCATTCCACCTAATGTGCATACACTAAACCAAAAGTTAAGACCTGAATATTCATACATTTTCCAAGAAATCTCCACCTTTTTGCCTATTACGTTTACATAATGCTAGTGTTGCAAAATTACACTATGCATGCACAGGGGTCTCAGGTAGTCATTGGTGGTCATTTGGGGAATTAATCCCCTACTCCTTTTTCCTTTTACAGTCACAAGTCTTTTGATGACAATTTCTTCTTGGATGTTTCCCCACTCTTTGGCCAACGTGTGGTTTTTTGTTTTTTTTTTTTTTTATCTGCCTCGTTTGAGCATTTCTACCAGCATGTATCTATTCTCAAAGTTAGGATATTTTCTCTGTACCTTTTAATTACTCAGGCCTTAAACGTTGGTAAAATAATATTTAAGGTATAATGGATCACTAATCCTTACAGGTCTCAACTTGCAGGCACCAGCTATCAGGCATCACCTGCGGGCGGGGACGATGGCGGTGTGAGGCAGCCGCGCCGTCGGAGGCGCGGGAGGCCCAGCGGAAGGCGGA